AGAGTTGTTTAAACAGAATTGAAATTATTATTGGTTCTCCGTAGTAGTGTAGTGACGTCGGAGATGCGAATTATAGTTTCGGTTGGTACACTAATCAATAACTACGGTTTTATTTTAATACAATTGAGTGTTCTTTTCTTTCTTTTTTTTTTTTTACACACAATCTCCCGAATACTATTTGTACTTAGTGTGGTTTTTATTATTATTGTTTGTTGTTTCAACTAGCGTCGTCCGAATGTATTATTTGTAGGGTACTGGGGTATAACTATTGATTTTGTACTGTCTGTTGTGTGTATATTATATTATAGTGGCTATATTTTCGGTAACCGACTATAAAAATAAAATAAAAATAATACGTATAAAGAGAATCATATTTAAGGAGTGGTCTTGCATTTTTATCTTAACTAAATATTATTATGTATTCTGTACGAGATAAAGACGCATTTGAAAAATTAGTTTACAATTATTATTATTATTATTATTATTATTATTATTAATACGACGCGTTCGAAAAATATAATAATATATTATAAAAAATAACCGATAAAAAAATATTTCCTCGGTAAAATTCCTTTAGCTCTATAATAAATATTGTTATACGACAATAATTTATCATTAACCACTCGGCGATAACTACTGCTGCAGCGTGGTAACGCATTAAAGCAGCAATCGGTCTCGATATTATTTATACGTGCAAATGTTTCGCCCTCGCTTACGAATTATAATACTTGACTTTAAAGTGCATCCACTGTAGATATAATTTACATTTAAGTCGAAACCGGTGTATCGTGTACTGCAGTAATTTCATGCTGAATGGTTATTATTGTGAGTACGTTTCATTAATAATTCACGAACACTTTAGGCACTGATCTCGTTTATAGTGGATAGGTAGTTGGTACCTGCATTATTAAAAATGCAGTTTACTCGAATTATGCAGTATTTAACAAATTATTGCCATTTATAAGTTCGTTTGTTCGTTTATTTTCATTTGATATAAAACTATAACATATCAACATGCCTTTCAAATTCCCTGCTCAAAGGACTTTTGTACCACATATTCAAACACAAAAGCTAACGAGAAGAAGTACATACGCCGTTTCGGGTTGAATAAAAAATCAACTATTCCGCTCCACTCGTATAATGTATTTACACTGTAAAGTGTACACTTGGTGAACACTCGGTGTACTCATTATGTGCAACATGAGTACATGAACTAATTTTCTTTTTTTAGGACAATAAACATTGCTTCATTTTATCTATAATAGAATAAATGATCTATTCTATTTTAATAGGTACTAATATGACATTTTTAGAAGCTCGTATATAATAGGATTATTGTCCATTTGAAAAGTCTAAATTAAAACTAAATACATTATTTTAATATTAAAGTAATATTATATTAATATCTTTGTATTTTTCTTTCCGTCAACACTAAAATGTTCAAATATTTCATTAATTGGTACCTGCTGTCATTGTTTAATTTTAAAACCGAATAATTACGTAATTACATTTTCAAAAAATCATAGGCAATTCAAAAATATTACTCAATTTTAAAGCTTAATCATTATTTACGAGAAAGAAAATAATTAATTTTACTTCTAATAGAAATAAATAACAAACCACATAATTTAATTTTTATGATTTTAGTTGAAAAAAATTTTAAAAAACAATTGGAGCTCATTAATATTATTCTGGTTGTCACTATAATACCAATATAAATTATCGATGCAAATTAGAATAAGGATGATAATATTTTTAAAATGTAAACAATTGTCATTTGCATAAAATTGACATTATTTGGATCAATACATTATATAATAATATCATGGTAGTATTCTTAAAATATTACACAAAATGCAGTTATAAAAAGTCTTTTTGTCGTTTTCAGTGTACATATTATATTATATCAATAGTTACCAATATTACCATGACTGGGGAAGCTCAACGAATCGGAATCTTTATATTTTAATTTTTTATAAATTTTAAAACATATCGTTACCTCCAAGTTAAGTGTTGCTATTGGGTGACTTCTCAATCGAGTAATCAATGTAAAAAAAATACCCTCATCACATAATATGCTTATTGTGTAATTTTTCACGGATTGTATATTTACTTAAGAAAAAAAAAGTATCGTTATTAATTCCATGCAATAAGTGTATTAAATTATAGACGAATTTAAACGAGTTTCGTTATTAAAAAATCATTTTTGTATCATGTTATCCTATTAAATACACCTGTCAGTGAATCATAACTGTACGTTTAAATTACACAGGTGAAAAAATCACACAGACTCGACAGACATTTACGAGTGTAAAACCATTTTTTTTTTCATTTATGTCTGTTGTGGTTGTTTAATGTCATTCATAACAGTAGAGAAATATCAGTTTGGGTACAAGTATAACAATAGGTCACAGGTAGTAGTCACATTATATTTTATGTTATACGAAATATATTAAATTCACTTTGTTATTAAAAACCATTTCGAACACAAGATTCTGTCTACGTTGATTTTATTAAATAAAAATATAGGTAATTGCATGTTGATTGTAAAATTCACTTAAACGCTTTTCAACGCACGTTATATAAAATTAAGTTAAGTTAGTTTGATTATTAAAAGTTACTACACATACCAATAATATAACACTTATTACTGTTTTTATTATTTGAATGCTAAAATATTATGCAAAAACATTGCAATTTATGTAAACATATTGTTTACAAAATGTATTATTTATTATTGAAAAATGCAAGATTTTTTAACTATTATTTTCCATGTATTTTTTTCAATGATTCTCTCAAAAGTGGTGAAGCTCGATCACCCGTTCACAGATCAAACGCCAACATAGTATATTTCTTACAGAAAATTAAATTATACCACCTAACTTAAACCTCAATAAAAATAACCTATGCCCTAGTAGCCAATGTTTTAATGTTCAATAAAAAAAATATTCTATTAAGTTTTATTAAAAAAAAAAATTAAAATTATTATTTATTTATTATATAAAAACGAACACACACACACACACACTAATAAATTAATACGTGTTATCGGAATTTTCAGTTATTAAAAATCAGCTGTGTTCCATAAATTATTATAAATTGATAAAAAATTAAGGTTTTCATTAATATTTTACTTATTTGACAGAAAATATAACATTTTTGTGCATACGTATAATATAATTTTTAACAAATACACTTTTTTTTTATCACAACCACTATTATAAATGTTTTTATTTCATATACGTTGGCATATAAAACAAATCAGTTATAATTTTCATCATCCGATTTGATACGATTATTTATGTGTAGATAACTTGCAATGGATAAAATTTTATTTTTTAATTGTTTCCTATAATTTTTCCAGAAAACAAAATATTTTTTTTTTTTTTGTAAATTGAAATATGGTCAATAAATAATTATGTTTTACTTGCACAATGTAAATTTATATAATTAGTAATTTACACATAATATGCATCTTCCTCAATTTCCCCTTAACTTTGGAAAATATAATGTGCTTTATTTTAAAATCGTATAAACATGTCGAGGGAACGTTTATCTTCTACAATGCAGAAACCATTAATTTGCGTTTTTGGTATGACTATAGTATACCTAATGGTATAGTACACACCAAACAATAATCATCTGAAATGCGTATTATAGTGATTATAATCCTTATGAGATTCAAGCAACGTAATATACATTTAAAACAATTTTGATAATAATAATATTCCAAAACTACGTTTCACTTAAATATACTTTAATGAGCATCCTATTCATCGTTATCTCCCCTTTTGGTTTTCAATAAAATGTATACTCATTATGTGATGGGATTGGCCTCAGATGTCGAAGCAGAAATTATTAATGATTTAAAGATCAATAAAAAAAATATCTATATTTATAAAATTATAAACTCGTATTACACAATATAATATAATTATATAAATGCATCAATAACTTTAAACTTAATAATAATATCATATTCATTCATTAATATTTTTGTCTTTAGTACAATATGTTGTGTTTGATGTGTTTATATATATAATATATATATTGCATAAGATACTTGCATTAATATGCTTTTAGAATAAATTAAATTAAACCTTAATTTTATTCAAAAATATGAACGTTCGGAAAATTAATGAAATAAAAAATTTTTTAAATTACATCATTAGATACTTTAAAATAAATAGCCAAAAAAAAAAAAAAAAAACATTTAAAGTTTTCAAAAAAGTATAAAAATAATAACAAATGAAATTTTTTTAGATTATTTTTCCCAGCTGTACATGTTGTAGTTTTTTCTCCATAATGTTGATTTCTATTAATTATATTTGTTTCTTTCATTTAATAATTTTTACTTCGTTTAAAAACTGATACTAGTATATCAGTTGAAATAAACGTATCTCCGAATAAAGATATGAACTGTTTTTAACGTTTAATAATTTTTAAACTTACAATTTTTTATTGGTGTTTTATCCGTCATTCGCTCATATTATATTATATTTTCATTTTGTGAAATTCAACAGATTTGGTGTACTCTCGTACCAACTCAATATGACTCAATCTGGTGTAAAAAAGCAATTTTAAGATTATTGAAATCGGAGGAAAGAATCAGAAATAAAAAAACTAGATCGATATAATATACTATTATACAAAAATACGATATAAATATACCAAGTTCTGCGTATTTTTCAACACAATAAAATGTATTTATTTTTAAATTCAAAGAACTGCAATAATAAGAGCAATAAGAATACGTTTACTCATGTATAAAAATAAAATTTAACTCTGTTTATTTAGAATCAAAATAAGATAAAACGAACGAATTCTTTTACAGAAATGACCTTTCCAACGCAATATAGTCATAAAAAAAAACCTTTGCTACTAAATTCTAGTCGAAAGCCACGATACTCGAAATAGGTACTAAAAGTTTTATCAGCAAAAAAATCATATTCAGCTATACAAATCAACTACGTAATAAAGTACGAACAAAATATTCTTACCCGTGTCTACAGTTACGTCAAACAGTTTGGCCACCAGATGTCTGCCTCTCACTAGGAATAGACTGCCACGGTCAGCTCTGGTTAATATACCGACGTTCACAAGTATTTTGTGACATAGGACGTCGATATCCAATTCGTTCGACACGTCCCGGATGAGCTCCATGAAAAGCTCTCCTTCGTCTAACAAACCCAAATGATGTCTCCATTCACCACTGCTCCGTGTCACTCTGTTGAAATCATAAAGGTTTTTGTTTGGATAAATAATTTGTTATATACATTACATCCAACCGCTAAATATGCAGTCTATTAAACATATTCAATACAAAACCATCAAATATAAAGATAGCTAGGTATATATACTTTGATAGTATAAGCAAAATATGTATACATTTACATAATTTTACCCTTATAAACTCACGACTATACACATTATAGCTTAATATAGGTAGGCAATGCGTAATAACATTATTTAAATTGTAATAATATAGCCGTCTTGGAATATGAACATAGCCATAGCCCATAGGTAATGTTTTACCTATTTCCCGTTGGTAACAATACAATATTTTAAATTTAGATACTAGGCGAAAAAAATATAGAACATAGAAATGATTTTTTCTCAAACAAATAGTATATAATATATTTGTAACTTTATTGCACTTGCTGCTTACTGTAACATTATTACCAGATAAAAGGACCATATTTTGGTCACTACAATGATTAGTTCATAACAAGCATGTTATAAATTAATTATTATAATAAACTTAAAATGTTTTGTTAATGCTTTAAAACGTATTTATTATCTACTATTAACGGAAAAAAAGGAAAAACACAAAATATCATTCAAGCAGTGACGTAATTAGCAACTTGGCGAGGGGGAGATATTAAATAACGATAGTATTTAGACTGAAGAAAATGAAAAATTAGTTGAAAAAAAAATGTGAAAGTAGGTAACCAATTGATTGAGCAGTTTTATTGTAGTTGTGGGATGTAACTGTCATTGATTGGGTCAATGTAACAACGTATGTGTTAAATTTACATTCAATGATATATACCAAGGGAGGTGAACCTTTTTTTTTGGTCACGTGCCAACATTTTGTAATCAAAGTTTTAAAAARAAATCCACGTGCTAGTTATATAATATGTCCATAGATACATAAACAATTTATTTTATATTAAATATAATAATTACATAGCTGTAGTGTAATCATTGTTTTTTTTAAATTAATTTTATAATAATTTATTTAAATACATTTTTTAATTGATTTAATTTTTTTTTTATTGATATAAGAAATATTGTTAGTAAATGTATTTAATTTATATGTGAAGACATCAGACCGAAGAAATATTAGTTTAAAAGATTTAACCTAATAAAAAAAGGTCCCGTAAGCCGAGGACTGCATATCATAAATGTTTCAAGTAAAACRATTACTTATATCTGAAAATCCTCGAGAGCTGTAAACAAAACCAATATGGCAAATTGGATTTTAAAAGTTTTAAATCATATATTTTATAAAATATTTAAGCAATAATACTTTGTTCCAAGTAATTAAACTTTTAATAGTTTAAGAAATTAAGATATTTATTAATATAAAATATTTAAGCAATACAGTGTTCTARTTAAACTTTTAAAAGTTTAAGAAATTGAGATATTTACTAATAAAAAGATTGCTATCTCTTTGAAAATCAAACGGCGATTTATTATTATTATTAAATCCCTATTAGATATTTAAAGGCTTAAATAACGTAGATTGGACTTATTAATATATTATTACGCATTCATTATTTTTTTTTAAATCTGTTAGGTATCTCATCGAGGACATAACACTTCGTGTCAATAAGTAACATTTTTTTTTTTTAATTTAATAAATTTAATTGAATGATTATGTTTTTAAATTAATGTTTCTTAGATACCTATCAATTGATATTGAAATATTTTATAATCAAACAGTTCGACGGAAGGAAAAATATAAAATAAAATCAACCTTACATAAGTATATTTCGAGTACAAAAATTATGAATATAATTATGGAAAATCATAAAATTATGATTTCATGGAATTCACTTTCTGAACTATTCACTTGTTATATTCAATTTTTTATGAATTTTTGACTAAAGTTACAAGGTATGATGGAAATCCAGAAGGTGAATTCTACATCACTTTGGTTCCCTGATTTTTAACATTTTCTGTGAATTTATTGAGATAGTGAATTGTATATTATGTATACAACATCCGAGAAATGTATTTAAAAATATATATATAGACCGTATACCTGCCAGTTGAAAATCTTAGCAAAATATGGTTGATACACTTAATAGTGAAGAAATTTGAAACGCATATCAATAATAATATTTCGCTAATTTGTTGCTTATTGAAAATTTTTATTTGGCTTTCACGAGATGCTTAATTCTGCCTGAATTAAAATATTATTATTATTTAAGGTTAAAATATTATTATTGAAATACACAAAAATATATATTTAGGGACTTTTGATATTATGTGCGAATAAGAATGTGATTGCGTGTGTGTGGGACGGGCTAATCAAAATATTATAAAGAAACGAAATATGTTTCGAATTGGAAAACCATCAATAACCCATATTGTATAAAATTGTACATCTATCACGACTCTTTTGGATTTCATTCGATGTCAGACGATGTTGGAATCAATGAAGATTTGTCTTCCAACCACTCTTACGACTTTACAAAATAATTTATTTGCTGACAAGTTCACAAAAATCAATAAACGGAATTTGACTTTTCGGTTTTACAAGTTTAGACTTCTATGGCGTACGCAGTTGTTGCAGTCCTCGTCGGAATATTATAATATTCAACATATAACAATATAGTAAGATTGAAATAAAAAAAAAAATAATATTTCATAGGCATATGCCATTCATAATCATTTAGGGTATTATATGGCAAGAAACGAATATGCTTAAAGTTGTCCAACGAAAATGGCCCTAATTTCAGCAATAACTTTTACAGCCCAATGTTCCTAATCCTCGTCGGGAATAATTGATGCTGCAGAAATTCCAACAGACTTACTGCAGATTTACTAATAACAAAAACACTAAAGTCTCAAACTTTTATGTGTACGTATATAACTATAAGCTTATACGCCCGCCCTTCACCCATAAGTACTATAAAAATGTACTATTTACTTAACTACCTAGGTATGTATAATGCTCGCGTTTATGTATATACGATTATCAGGTCACTCATACACTAGCCTAATTTACGTATAAGAATAATAGTTTCTCATAAAAAAACATGTAATGAAAAGCTTTGACAACGTAGGTGAAACCAAAGGAATTCGCTGTAAATTATAAATAAAATTTTTCCCCTAGACAATAATTATTAACTCCCCTTAGCATCTGCGGTACACAATTGTTGGAGTATAATAAAATTATTACACTATCCCGTGAATTTGTTTAAAGTACCTACTTTTAAAAAGAATTTTAAATACTTAATTTCCGACGAAAGCTCTGCGCAGGAGTGGTGAAATTGTCTAGTCCGATTTTTTGTTTCTCTGGTAGGTGAATATTATTATTATTATTATTATTATTTTTATTTCAATAGAGACAATGTCAACAGACGAATCCCCAAGAGCATGATACATATATACCATAAAAGGAAACTTTGTGTTTTTTTACAGCGTTTTCTATGTTTTAACACGAAATCACTAAAATTACATGAGAATATAAAATGTTCAGTGGAGAATGGAATTTTTCAGTTCAAAACGTGGAGTAAACAACTCGAAAATACGAGTAAGGTCCATGTCGATTCTTACGAAAGAAACAATATTGCAGAAGCGCGCAGGCATTAATATTTTGGGCTGCAGGCCATTTGCGTCCCGAGGGATGTGGACAAATGTGCCTGAATGTACCTGATGTTGTCGTTGTGAATTTGTGATGCATAAAATAGATTAAATATTTATATCTTGATAGATACTTAGATTAATTAGATTGGTAGATTATAATGCTTTAAAAATGGTTATCTAAATCCTATGTGGATTAAATTTAATAATTTTGTCAAAATATTGTAATAAAAAAAAAAAAATAAGTGCCCAAATTTTGTAATTAATCAACACTCGAGTGATTCGCACTAAGTTTTATTTACTGTAGTCAAAATTCATCTCATATAAAATGTTATAAAAAAACATTTTAAATAAAAAAATAAAGTCATTAAATACAACACATACATATTTTGTACCTACTACCCTTGTTGACATTATAACATGACTATGGTTTCGTTATACCTGTTAGGCGATCTCGACCGTTTGATCGGAGACGACGCGAGCCAAGTGTTGAACATTTCAGACGTCATGGAGCCGCGTTTCGCCCGGTTTATCGTCAACGACCCGGTGCGGTGTTGAAGCCGTGCCCGGATCACGCGGTCCACCAAGTCTTGTGGCGCTTTTTCGCACAGCCATCGCTCTACCTCGTCAGCGTCCAGGTCCATCGTGGTCAGGTCAATCACTGAACCGCAACAGCTGCTGCACGACTGCGACCCGTCCGAAGCCCCGTCCGAACCCTGGAAAGAAAAAACAGCGAACCCCGCTCGATCGTTAATCATCGCATAATGGATATTATGATAGTTTATAATAACAACAATAATAAATTTATACGAATAATATTATGCAACGTTATTATTTTATAATAATCGCGACGAAAATAATATATATTATTATTTTTTTTTATTAACTAACCCGCGCCAACACAAGCTATTGTGTATTCTTGGTAGGTTTTTTTTTTTTTACTGCCGGAGTTGTTATTATTGGTCAAACACACGTGTATGTGGGACAGAGTTTTGCCACTAAGAACCACCCGGGTGGTCACCCATCCGGGAACTACTAGTGGCAGCTGCCAGTGTGTATACTTTCGATCACGTCGCGTGACTGATGCAGCGATCGCGCCAGGCCAAGCCACATAATAAATAATTGTATTATATCATCATCGTTTAGGYCCAATCGCGACGACAACAACAATAGTAGAGATATGTTGAATATTATATAATTATATAACTATATTACTATATTATAGTCCGTGAAATGGGATATTTTATTTTATTTTTTTTAGTTTTTTACTCACAATATTATAATAAAATATATTATAATATTGTAACGTTCTACCTCGAAATCCGCGTCTGTGTGATATTGTGATTTTTTGACATCGTCTATAATATATTATATTATTTATACAGCTACACGTGCGAGTAATTTATCTTCGTCTACAACACTGCAGTACACAATATTCTGCGTTCGTGCGCTACTATACATAACTCCCCTACACGGTTTTCGAACAAGTAAAAATCACCATTGATAATATAATATTAATGGACCGGGAAACTCTCTTTTTTTTCTTCAAATTTCATCACCATCATATTATTATTATTATTWTTTTTTTTATCAGTTACAACGTGTAATTCCAATTTTGTATATCAAAAGTCATGCTAAACTTACACAAATAAAGAATAAGAATAAAGATTATCTTTGTAACGTTTTATATATTTTTTTTAAATCTCTTAGGAGAAAGCATATATATGTTTAAACGTTGGACATAAAACGTTATCGTTTGCACCTGCACCTCCCCTATTAAAAGCTGGTTTAATCATCTAAGCTTATTGGAGTCTTGAAAATTTCCCTATTCGTTTTATATGATGTATGTTTGTAATATATATCACTATTTTTGACACCATAACTATCGTAAAATGGCGTTCGACAACGTTTGGACGTCCATTATTATTTAGACGCCTATTAAAAATACTATACATAGTCGTACAAATCATCCATTTCTTTATCAAAATCAATTAATGCATTAACAGTCACCGATCTTATTTTGTTTAATATACTAACCCACGTTAAGTACCTATCTGCTATTGATATTGGAGACATTGCAAAAAGTCATAAATTCTTTTAAAATTATTCAAGAACATCTCATCCTCGTTGAAAAGTGAAACAAGGAAATAAGTATGAAAAATAAAATTTAAGAACCTAAATCCATACACTCCACCTTTAAGTTTCATTGGCAAAAATATCTTCTACTTATTCTCAGTATATAGTTAGTGTCTGAAGTGAACTAGTTTTATGCTTTTTTTTTACCAACTGCACAACTTCTCCGTTAAATACTTAATTCTTGCTATAAATACAGGAACGAAATGCCCCGTATTCACATGGGTACAACACTAGATGAYAAACTCTTAACTAAACGTTTTCACGACCATTGATATCTTAGATTCCAATTACRCAAAATTAAACTACAAAATATAACACTAAACTACCAATCAATAMATTTTTCATCAATGCAATTAGGAAATAAGGAATCCAACTGTGTACCAATGCTAAAATATTAAACATCAACCGTAATCGATGTTTTAAATTCAAACCTCAACAAGCTAAAACAAATGAATCTTTTAACGTATAAAATTACTYCACTACACCCAACGATATGTAAAATTATAAAGTAGCCAAACCGTATTGTAATCTAGTTAAGTAAAATCTCAAAAATCACATAGTTCCACTAATTGAATAGTACTATTGCATCAACTTACTAAACCTGGCTATCCAAAAAAAGCGTAAAAAAAAAATAGGCGGTGGTTTCGWAACCAGCTTTAGTATGCATCCATTATTAATGTAAAGGTACTATAATTAAATAAATTTGTTAATAGCTATTATAATAATTTGTCTTCAACTCACTGGTTTTTAATTAACAATAATTGTTTTTCCTGTGGGCGGATAATTAATTCATTCTGCGAATTATGCTTTTTTATTCGTTATGGGTATGACATTATTCATAATCACTTATTATTATTGGTTTATTGCATTTTAAAATTAAATTAAACTTAGATCCAAAAAAATACATATTTATATTTTAAGATTTTGCATCCGTGCATACTGCATATACAATGCTAAACTGCATATTAGATATATTTTTTTTTAGTTTTAGATAAACAATCTAGCGCTCAAAATTAAAATATTAATCTAAATTTAATTTTTGTTAATTGATACCAAAACGAAATTTTAGTCATAATATGATCGTCAAGATTTCCAGATGTTATAACTACCTACGTTATAGTATTCGAATAACCACTCTGAACAAACAATAAACCCAATCAATGCAGCATGGAGGTTAATTATTTTGAGAAGTAGCTCTATTACTTTTTTCGAAAAAGGTACAAAACTATAAGATTAAATTAGACAGATTGTAGTTAATACTACGCCCAAAACATTGACAATAGTATAATCAAATAACTGGTACCTATATATACATATCACAAAAAATTAAAATACTGTAATTTTCAATAGTAAATATCGTAAGGATAAGATAATATAATGTACAATTCGAATCATATACCTATCTAACAATCTACAACAGCTCACAAAAAATCCGAAGTTTATTATGATTTTTTCTAACTATTTCTAGTTGGGATCAGTGTAAACCAAAATAATAATAATTATGTAATCTTCTATAAAATAAATAGTTTCTAACATCATACATGTAAATAAAAATTAATATTAATACATTTRTGATATTCTCATCTTAAAAATATTTCTAAGTAATGATGATAGTTTACAATTAGAACCCATAACTTTTATAATATGTATTATAAACATTCATACATAATTTCCAATAACTGAATATCTAAAA